AATATCTACTGATATTTTTTGCCACCCTAGCCTAGGGCACTGAAGCAGATTGTAGCACTCTTAACTGTTGTCAATAAATTAACTCATCAGGGCTGTAAATTAAACCTGAGGTGTTCTCATTTGTATTGCTGTCTATTTTGTTTCAAACAATTTGACTTCTGCCATAAAACAACCTGCAATATCTAAGAAGTGTCTCTCTTACAAGGAGGGCTTTATTAATACAACAGAGCTCAGAACAAATAAGTTAAATATCATTCTGTTTGACAATCAATTAAAACAAGTGCATCGAATGGTGCTGAACAATTCCTAATGGGTTAAAAAAACATTCCTCTAAACAAAAACGATTTGCGTAAAATGACCCCCATCAAATGTACTCAAAACAATAATGAATCTGTGAAAAAAATCTATTAAAAATTGTAATTTTGTAAATACAATGACACCATAAAAAGAGAAATATTTAAATCGAAGTTACTTCGAAGTGCAGATACTTTATTTCACGGACAGTCCTTTTAGTGAGCTATAAGCTGGACAAATTAACATTTTGGTTTTATACACATGTCAAATATTTCATGCTTGCATGAAGATAGCCAGGTTTAAGGTCTATACAATTTTACGCTCAGACTGTGACTTAATGAGGCTGCAATGCAACAGCTGGTCTACTGGCCTTAGAAATATGGCAATAACAACATCCTCCAGTGCCATGTTGCTACTGTGATTAGACTCAAAACAAGATAGTTGTGATTGTCAACTTAACAGTTGATTGCACAAAGTATATGAAGTCAACTTACTCTATGTCCTGACATGGAAAATTGTCCAAACGAAGGTACATCATGGCCCTTGTGGCCCTGACTGGCTTTGCCACTATAATCTAGCTGTGGTCATCTCATCTGTTGCAGATATTGCAGAGGGATCAGCGTGTCTTGTGACATGAATCATTAAAAGTCATTATGCATATTCAGCAAGTGATTAGAAAGGCAAATAGAAAATTGGAGTTATTGTAAGTCGGATGGAATGTGAAAGTACATCTGTTTTGCTGTAGTTATACAGGCCTAGATTACATCTAGAGCATGAAGTGCAGTTCTGGTCACCTTGTTTGAAAAAAGATTTAATTGTATTAGAATCAGTTCAGAGAATGTTCACTCGATTCTTTCCTGGGATGAGGGGCTTCTCTTATTAAAAAAAGGTTGAACATGTAACCATGAGATAGTAAGAACTGCTGATGCTGAAGTCAGAGATAACACAGTGTGGAGCTGGAGGAGCACAGCAGGCCAGGCAGCATCAGAGGAGCAGGAAAGTTGACGTTTCGGGTCGGGACCCTTCTAAATGTGAATATGTCACCATTGTAAAAAAACAAAAGAACTGCGGATGCTGTAAACCAGGAAACAAAACAGAAGTTGCTGGAAAAGCTCAGCAGGTCTGGCAGCATCTGTGAAGGAAAAATCAGAGTTAACATTTTGGGTCCAGAAGGGTCACCGGACCCGAAACGTTAAGTCTATTTTTTCCATCACAGATGCTGCCAGACCTGCTGAGCTTATCCAGCAACTTCTGTTATGTAACCATTGTAGCTTAGAAGAATGAAAGATGATTTTATTGAATTACATAAGATCCTAAGGAGACATGTTAAGGTGGATGATTGCACAATGTTCAGCACCCTTCGCGACTCCTACAATGCTGAAGCAGTTTGTGCCCGAATGCAACAAGATCCAGGCTTGAGCTGACACGTGGCAAGTAACATGCATGCCGCACAAATGCCAGGCTATGACCATCACCAATAACAGACAATCTAACCATCGTCTCTTGACACTGAACGATTTTACAATCACTGAATCCCCCACTTTCAACATCCTGGGAGTTATCATTGATCAGGAACTCAACTGGGTTCACCACATAAACACAGTGGCTACAAGAGCAGGACAGAGGCTAGAAATACTGCAGCGAGTAACTCACTTCCTGACTCCCAAAGTCTGTTCACCATCTACAAGGCACAAGTCAGGAGTGTGATGGAATACTCCCACTTACCTGGATGAGTGCACCCCAAACGACACTCAAGAAAGTTGACATGATCCAGGATAAAGCAGCCCACTTGAATGGCACTGCATCCTCAAGCATCCACTCCCTCCAAGACCGACAATCAGTAGCAGCAGTGTGTATGATCTACAAGATGCACTGCAGAAATTCACCAAAGATCCTCAGATAGCACCTTCCAAACCCGTGACCACTTCCATCTAGAAGGACAAGGGCAGCAGATATATGGCAACACTGCCACCGGCAAGTTCCCCTCCAAGCCACTCACCATTGTGACTTGGAAATATATCACCGTTCCTTCACTGTCGCTGGGTCAAAATCCTGGAATTCCCTTCCTAATGGCATTGTGGGTCAACCCACAGCAGGTGGACTACAACAGTTCAAGAAGGCAGCTCACCATCACCTTCTCAAGGGCACTTAGGGATGGGCAATAAATGCTGGCCAACCAGCGATGCCCACATCCCACAAAATGAATAAACAATAAAAGGATATTTCCTCTTGTGGCAGAAATGTGGGGACAGTTTAAGAATAAGAGTCTCTCTTTTAAGATTATCTCATAAGGTAGTGGAGGCTGGTTCATTGAATTTATTCAAGGCTAAGATCGATAGGTTTTTGATTAACAAGGGAATCAAGGTGTAGTAATTGTAATGAGGTCAGCCAGATAGGCCTAATAGAATGTGAATTCCCTGATTGGGGCTGTTAACCAATCCAATCTGCCCTGGCTGACAGATATAAACAGGAGTGTCAGCGGTTTCAGAGATTCTGTTCAGTCTGAAAATAGCTCTGAAAAGGCCAGACCAATGTTGAGCGCAATGCATATGTAAATAAAGCGTGGTGTGGTGATGGAATGCTGGCCCCTGTGGAGGTATTTCACAAGATTTCTGGGGAGCAGACAGGAAAGTGGAACTGAGACTATACCCATAGGATCTATTGAATGTCAGAACAGGCTTGAAGGTCTGAATCACAAAATCCATCCACTGCAGAAACAGGCCAGATGGCCCACTGAGTCTCCACCAACCCTCTGAAGAGAATCCCACTCAGACCCAGCCTTCCTATACTATCCCTGTAAACCCATATTTACCATACAGTCATACGGCATGGAAACAAACCCTTCGGTCCAACCAGTCCATGCCGAACTTAATCCCAACCTAAACTAGTCCAACCTGCCTGCTCCTGGCCCATATCCATCCAAACTTTTCCTATTCATGTATTTATCCAAATGTCTTTTAAACATTGTAAACGTACCCACATCCACGACTTCCTCATTCCACCTGTGAGCCACCCTCTGTGTAGAAAATTTGCCCCTCATGTCTTTTTTAAATCTCTCTCCTCTCACTTTAAAAATGTGTCCCCATTCTTGAAATCCCCCATCCTAGGGAAAAGACAACTACCATCAACTCTATCTATACCTCTCATTATTTTATAAACGTCTATCAGGTCACTTCTCAATCTCCTACGCACCAGAGAAAAAAGTCCCACTCTATCCAGCCTTTTCTTAATAACTCAAACCTTCCATACCTGGCAACACCCTGGTAAATCTCTTCTGAACCTTCTACTGCTTTATAATATCCTTCCTATAACTGGGCAACCAGAACTGGACACAGTAGTCTAGAAGTGGCCTCACAAATGTCTTGTACAACCTCAGCATGACTTCGCAACTCCTATACTCAAAGGATTGAG